TTTTTTTTTTTTTTTTTTTGCCTTTAGTTTAGTTTCTTCAGAAAATCCATACTGTCAGATGCATGAAACCAGAAAGTGTGTTTAAACTTTAAACAGAAAACACACTTTCTGGTAAATATACTTACAATATACTTTAAAGTAATCGAATTTACTTCTGCAGGAGACTCAAGTGAGGACATTAGCCTTGACGTCACAACACCCACAAAGATGATGAAGAAAGAGAAGAGTAAAGGCAGAGAGGTGGGCCCATCCTCGCGTCACAGCCACTATCCCGGGAAGGACCAGAGGAGAAACTACCAGATCCGCTGGAGGATGGAGTACCTGATGGACTACGACTCCAGGAGACACGGGCTCATCTGCATCGTGTGCGGAGCCACGCTCGCTACACTGAAGGTCAGCACTATCAAGAGACACATACAGCAGGTGCACCCACACTCTCTGCAGTACGGGCCGGAGCAGAAGCAGCAGACGCTGCTGAGCTACGACCAGAGGACTCTGCACTTTGTCCTCCCCGAGAACGCTTTCTCCTCCTCCTCCTCCAAGAACCCCGCAGATGCTGAACTGGATCCCGATCCAGAGCGACCTGGCACTTAAAGGGCTGTCGGTCCGAATGGGACCCAGAAAAAACCCTCCATTATCTTTAAAGAAAAAGAAGAAAAATCAGGTCCAGTACGATCTTGTTGTTCCCGGCATCCTGTCTTTGCTTCTGGACTTAATTTAGGACTAGTAATCTGTACAAGTCAGTGAGATAAAATGGCAGAATATCATGATGGGTGTACAAACATGGTCACCAGGCCATTAATGTTTACTTCAAGCCCCAACCTTATGCTCTTTGTTTTAGCCGAACGTTAACAAATCATCATTTTTTTGGAGCCGACAGTTTAGTCTCACATCCCGGGTATTGAGATACGGGGGGAGTCCTCTGTTTACGACGGCGCTTCGTAGTCACGTCGCCATCTCCATACGGCGATAAAACTTGCCAACTACTTCGCACAAAACCTAGTTGGCAAGCGCAGTGGACAAATCACACGCAAGTCACGCGGCGCTACGACGTACTCTTGTAGGTAGCGGACCCCCTGTACTAAGGTTGGACACAGTAACTACTCGAGCTGCCAGACCTATGTGGACAGCAGCATGAAAACATAGCTGCCTAAAACTACAAATTTAGAAGAGAAAAAGATTTATATATATACATATGTGTATGTATGTATATATATATGTATGTATGTATATATATGTATATATATGTATATGTATATGTATATATATATGTATATATATATATATATACATATACATACATATGTATATATATGTATATACACACATATATACTTACTGTATATATGTGTGTATATAGTCCGACATTTACTACAGATGGACCAACAAAAAGGAAATACAAAGATTTTTTTTTAATTTTGTTTTATTAATTAATAATAATAATAATAATAATTATTATTATTAATATTATCATAACCTATCAAATTTTTCGTACCATCCCCTGCTGGTCAGTTCCTGCATCTGTTTTTTTTTTCAAAATGAATCCATCCATGACATGACTGTTTGGCATTTTGTCTAAAGTCTAAAGCTAACCCAAAATCATTAGCTTTTAAAAAATAAAAACTGGTCAATCATATGTCAGTGTAGAAGATAACAATGTTATCTGGTATTATGTCATGTTTTAAAGGTCAATGAACTTCAGACAAAACGTCATACTAGCCTGCGGCTCGTGGATAAACAAGCGACTGTAGCATACGCAAATGCTAACGCTAACTGTGTTGTTCTTAACAGTTACTGTTTTCGTTGAGAGCTTGTTTTAAATTTTTAATTTGAATTCATTTTTACTTATACAACAGTGTCAACAGTGTTAACAAACGGTTAAAATGGCGGCCATATTAGAAAATAACTATTACTGTCTTTACCCAACTTCTGTGAATGCAGGAACATTTATTTTCCTAATTATTTTTTATCAAATAAAAATATAATTGTGTTCACGAATTGGGGGAAAAAAAAGAGAAATTAAACCATTTTTTTTGTGTGTGTAATTAGGGGAATTTCTTATATTATTTAAAAACGGACTAACTCATTGCGCATTAGATTTATTTAATTTTAACATGAAACAAATATCCAAAAGTTTTCGAGATATGTCTCCATCTAAAGGTGAAACTGTAGACTGCAGCTGCAGGCGGTCATTTTTGAAGTCACGTTGAGGAACAGGGAATCCAGCAGGGCGTGGCCAAAAATAATCGCTGACATCAGTCAGCAGTTTTTTTAAATGCCAAAAAGTTTCTCTCTGGCCCAGTTTGTTGTTTTTTGTTTTTGTTTTTTTTTCACAGGTCATTACAATGTCAGGCAGTCATAAATAATATCCTGAAGCTCCAAAAGCCATAGTTGTGGGACAGAGTAAACATCCAATCACAATGTTGTCGGTCAGCAATGCAAACGTGTTGGCTGTCAATCAGCCAAATGATTTACAGCTAAAGTTTAGATGAAGACGAACTAGAAAACATTCACACTGGGAATTTTTTCGTCCCTAAATCTGTCTATATTTGTCCTTTATTTACACAGTGGACTTTTAAAAGGTACTGGTGAGTTTTTTTTTTAGACTTTGAGCCTTTCTCTCTATGTGACTCTTATCTTCCGGAGCGGGAGGGTAAGAGGCCTGCACTGGGGCTTGTTTTTTTTCTGATCAGGGCCCCAGTGTCACGCTCTCAGGAAGGCGAATGTGCGTCTGCGGAGGCAGAGCGGAATTAGTTTTTATGATAAACGCGCGTGAGGACAACGTAGCACTTTGCCCTGCAGATGTACTCAAACAGCAACGCTGCCGTCGGCGACCGGCGGTCACAAAATACACAAAATGAGACTGCTTGATGTTTTGTTTTTTTTGTTTTTTGCTGATGACAATGAATGATGGCGTGCGGCAGAGTCACACACTCGATGTATATTTACCCGTTTACATCCATAATCCTGAGATATTCTTCCTCTAACCCATCAACATATCCACGCTAGCCACGCTGCACCAAAAAGTTAATGTAAATACTTAAAACAAAAACAGAAAAACAAAAAACCACATTTCTTATACAAGCACTTTTCTGCTCCCTGGTTTGTAATCGCGTCCAGTCTTTCTACTTTGTTCAACTTTGGTTCTTTTTGTCTTCTCTTGGAAACAGGCTCATTTCCTTTTTTTCCTGTACAGGTTTTATGCAACAGAATAAAACACCAGAGTGTGTAAAAGAAAAAAAAAAAATCTGCTGTCTACATGTCAAAACTCAGGGATTCCGGCATCAGTAACTGTTCCTTCAGGAACACACTCTCGGTTGATGTGATGAAATGATTGTTTCTTTTGTGGAGGAAAAGACACTGTGTTTACATGTCAACAATAACGGTGCGGAATTATACATCGTCACAGTTTCACGGAGTGGCATGAAGAAGAAGAAAAAAAAAAAAGAAAAGAAGTCTTAATTTTCAAGGACATGTTTGAAAATCTAAAATGCAACGTAAGCTCTCCCTCCTTATTTATACTTTGTTGTTTTGTATAAAAAAAAATATATATAGTATTATTAAGTTATATTGTCATTTTCTTTTATTTAACTTTTAGTTAGGAACAGGCACAGTGATGTAAAATGAAGACCCGGCCAAAATGAAGTCAGCCATCAGCATTGTATCAGAGGAGACGGGACAAAATGAAATGAAAGAAAACGTTTAAAAAAAAAAAAGACTTTGAGTTAAAATATTTCAAACCAAAAAAAAATGTATGCATTGACTCACTTCCTGGTTCTGTTGGATTTCAGTTGAAATGTTGACATGGGACTGACTGTGTTTTTCAGAATGTGTGCGTTTGTGTGTTTGTTTGGTCGAAAGGCTTCATTTAAATCTGTTCTAAACAGACAAAATAATTTACTGAAGCCCCAGAAACATTATTATAATCAACAGAGTCTTTTCAATCAGTTTCTGATTTCTGTTTCCCCTGTTAAAAAAAAAAAGCAGATTCAAGTCTCTCTTAGTTTACAACAGACCTGACTTTGAAATGATGATGCAAGTACAAGTACTACGTAAGACGGTGTTTCCCAACCGTTCTCAGCCGCAGCACACATTTTACACGAGGAAAGTCCCACAATGCATCACCAAACAAAAATGTCCCCAAAACATATACCACGAAATATAATCATTCGTCTTTCTTCAATTTCCTTATTCCTGTTCAGTTGAACACAACCCTGAAATACTCAGGAATTGAAGAAAGACACACACACCAAGATCTTCCAACAGTTGTTTTCCCAGTGTGGGATCAATAAAGTTCAATCTTTCTCTTTTTTTTTTTTTTTTTTTTTCATGTTTTTTAGTCATCTTCTGCCACCTAGTGGAAAAGGTTATATTTGTCATTTTCACTGTTGCATCTATGAACAGGAAGATATATATAAATAAATACCTTTTTTTGGACTAGTTAAGTTATTGGATCATTTTCCACGGCACACCCGATGATCTTTCATGGTACCAACAGTTGGGAATCACCGATGTAAAAAAAACAGTGAAATGACTTGTGGATGGTGCGAATGTGAAACATTTCGTGGCTTCAGTGTGTGTGTCTTTGTACTCTGGTAGAGCAGCTCTGGTTGTTGTTGTTGTTCTCTTTCATTTGTATCTGACACCAACATGTCTTTTTTTTTTTTCTCCCGTTCTGATCTTTGAATAAACTCTCAACACTGTTACACTCTGTGTTTCCGTTTATTCACTTGGCGGTGCTGCGGTTTCTGGACAGAAAAAAAAAAAAAACATTTACCATCAAAGGTATCGAGTACCTCAAAATTAAGCTAACTTGCTGAACTCACTGGAGAAACTTTGTGCCCCTCAAAGCATTTAGCAGATGTAGCCTCCAGCAGTACAATGAGCAGACGACGGACGCACTATGGTCTTTAAATGTGTTTTTATTAATTTTACTTGGACATCAGTACAGAGACCACATACTTTTTTTCAGTTTTCTAACTTTTTTTTTCTGCAACATGTTTCCCAACACTTCAAAAAACCCAAAGTTAAATCTAATACAAAACGAAAAAAAGCTGATGTTAGTTAACCGCTACAGTAAATCAGCAATAGTCGGAAGCAGAAACAAAGACTCCCCCACAGACCACTCAGGTCTCACACACGCACACACACACACACACGTGCACACCTGATGAGAGTACACAAGGACGACGACGAAGAGCAAAGCAACACGTGAAGTACATTTTAATACCTAAAAATAAAACTGCAGTTGTGACTGGGAGAAGTGATTTGTTTAGTCCTGGTGACTTACAGCGTTTACATTAAAGGGTCAGTTCAACTAAAATTCAACTTTACAGCTTGTAGTTAATCAGAAGAAAACTTCATGGAACTTTCGGGTTTGTCCTAATTTTTACTTTAAAGTTTTTAACTTTCAATGAAATCAATGTTGATTTTTTTCCCCCCCGAAAACAAATTATCTGGGCGCCAGAAGGTTTTGTCAATTAGCTTTAGCATTAGGCAGAAAGAAGTGGTTGCGTGTACACACGAGAGATGAGAAAGTAAAAATTATAGTGAGAACCGCAACTTTAAGAACCTCTGCACATTGTCTGCAAATGCAACAAAAATTGTTGAAAATTTTGCCTTGCGTTGAGTCTGCATTTTTCTGTAAATCTACTCAGAAAAGTTGAAAAAAAAGGCAAATGACCTAAGCACCAAACACATAACTTAAAAGAACATGTTTTGGAAAGTGAAAGAAATGAAAAGTTACTAAAAATGTCTTCAAACGTGTACTTTAAATTCCCAACACGAATAACTGCCCAACAAACCACACACAGCAACAGAAAGTGACAGAGCTCATCTGAACACTGCGTAATTGTGTCGGGACACCGACGTGATTAGCATAAATTATTTTGTTGTTGTTGTTGTTGTTGAGTTTTTCTTGGAACCATTGGGGGTAGATCTTCCAACTAAGTTTGTTCTGAACAACTGTCTAACTGTTTAAACAATTTAATAAATACAACATTAAATACAACCTGAATCTAAGTCTAATTTAAGAGGCAAAAAGACAAAGTCACCAAAGTAGATGTAGATCTACGAGTTCGGATGCTTTCATTTCGCAATACTGTATAATTGAACTGACCCTTTGTAAAAAAAAAAAAAAAAAAAAAAAAAACACTTTTTATGAAAGTATTCCAGTAGTTTAAATGACACGTAGCCTCTCAAAACTACACTATGCCACTTCTTTACACTATAATAAATACATGTGATGAGTAATAACATTAGTCTGTGCATCACAGCCTAAGGCAGCTCACGGCAAAAAAAGTGAGCGGCTAGGCTAGCTGCTAGCATCTTAGAACAGAAACAGTGCATATTTGGATTTTGCGAGAGAAGATGCCGCATGCGACGGAGTCGGGACACAGAGGTGTTTTTTTTTTCCCCCCCGGGGTGAGGGGCGGGTTGAGGGTTAAGAGTTGAGGGGAGAGCGTGCATGCACGGTGTTCTAGGTTCTGCACACAACCAGACGCGGTGACAAACTCGCAACTTCATTTTCTCTCTTATCACTCGACCTTAAAAAACAAAATCGATTTGTAGCTGTGGTGCTCACTTATAACTTGTTTTTTTTTCCTTTTTTCTTTTCTTTTTTTAAACCAAGCTCAAAAACACCATCGAAACGATCACAAGTAATTATCATTAAAGAAAAGTCGCGATCAGAAATATATGATACAGCCTAAAGAGAGGCGAGTCTCCTACAGCGTCAACAACTACCGCGTTACGACAGGCTCTGATCAGCCATTGGCGAAAAAGAACACGGCGACCAAACGCAGAGCTCGAGAATAAAATCACTTCAAGCTGCTTCAGTTTCTCCAAGCCTTTACGCAAACCTCGCATTTCAAACACCAAGAAAAGAAAAAGAGTGAGAAAATCTCTCGGCAAACAGCAGACAAGACTGGATGGAGGTCAGAATATTGTTCAAAAACTTGAACGGTAACATTTTCTAATCTATCACTATTAACCATAATTGCGTTCGCTATTAATCCCAACTAGGTTTAATCGCAATTGATCACGATTAATCGTGATTGCAATTAATCACGAGTGGGACTAATCGGAAATTCAACAATAATTCCAATCTCTGAATAATCCAGATGTTGGAATTATTAATACGTTAAAATGCAGAGAAATGCGTAGTAGTGGAATTGAGAGATTTGGCTAAGTGCAACAAAAACATTTACCCACAACGTGTGTAAATAACCTATGTTTTAACTGCACATTTTTGTGCCTTTTGTGCGATATAAAATTTTAGTCTGATAAATCATTACATATTTACGCCAATAATGTTAATTTCGCCAATAATAATAATTTTGTCAAAACAATTGAATGTGTCATCAATTAATATACCGATGAAGTTTACCTTTGTTTTTTTTCCAAGAAAACCTCTAGTTGTTCACTCTGCAATAATTACTTTTTTTTTTTTTTTTTTTTCATAAATAACCAAACATCTAGGACTCGGAGCCTTACCTACAGTCACAAAACACCATGTACTCTACAATTTGTGGTACATTTCCTGTCAGGGTACCCAGATGTGATACAGTACTCAGTATGTAGTTCTCTCCTCGATTGTATTATCAACAATACTGCGATGTTTCTTGGTAACAAAACCAAGGTTTCTTTCACTGTATTCATCGTTTCAATGCCTCCCTCTGCCCCTAACCTTGACCCTCGCTGTGCTATAACTCTGCAGCTGAAGACGCGTCCGAGTTAACGGGAACTTCCAGTTTCACACTCTACGGAGAAACTACCGTTTAACCCGCAAGCTAGTTCAACGGTTTGATCCCAAAATCGCAACTCGTGCCTTAACGTAATACAGTCGCTGTAGGTTTGTAATATCTGCTTAAGGAGACGCAATGGACGAATAGGAAGAAAGGCTCCACCTGCAGGCCAGAAAAAAAAGATCATTTATCCTTTTTCTCCAATTGTTGCTACAGTAACTAAAGAGCGGGAAGGAAAGGAGTGTCGCAGAAACAGCGACAAATGACAAAAGGAGGTTTAAACCATGACCTTGAGAAACACTTGAATAAAGAGGAGGGAAAAATTTAAATAAGACGGAGGCGCTTTGCAAATGCGCGTGAGTGCATTCCAAGCCGTCAGTCTGAGCCGAGAGATTTTCTGGGGGGGCGGGAGGGCGTCATGACAAGAGACAGGGTTGGGTTTTCATAGCCATCACGTCAGGAATCCAGCTAGGCGTTAGCACTAACGTAACTCGCAAACAAAGCCGTCAAGCTGGCCAGTAGGCGAGCGGCTGTTCTAATTTATAGCTAAGTATAAGATAGTTGTAACAATAGAAATGAGATGGAAAAACACATATAATTGTACAGGTGGAGGTGAGCTGTCAAAACCCAGTGGATGGACAGGAGAGCTCTGTGAGGAAACGGCGGTTGGATTTTAAAAAAGCGAGGCGACCACGTTCTCTATTCTGTGGCCTCCTGTCGTCTTCAGCAGTAAATATTTACACAAACAGACACAGAAACACACTCACACACACACACAGAGAGAGAGAGAGAACTGATCCAAACAGTGGACTAGACCAAATGATCACAGCTGGCTGCAGCTTCTTTTATTGGACCCTGCCGACGGGGTTTCAGAAATCAAACTTCAGTGCATTGCAGAAACGTACAGAACACAGATGCCCGTGAGGCGAACGAACTTAACTTGAGCAGAGCCAGAAATCAACTGATATTTATCCCATACAACGGGTCGACTAACCATAACCATACGTCTCCAAATTGCTTTTATTCCTTCTCCTTTGCAGTAAAAATGGTGTGTTTGCGGCCTTGTGTGTGTGTGTTTTGTGCACAGACATTGAATTCCTATAAATACACTCCACCCCAAACCAGGTCATAGATTCAGTCTAGTTCACTCGCCCCCCCCTCCCCTATTTGTCCTCCTGCGACGCTGACATGGGTCCGCCGCCCTACGCTGTTATTGTTGTTGTTGTTGTTGTTGCATCACTTCCACGCTAGCGTTTGCGCTTCCTGGCAGATACGTTTCTTCTCTAAAGCTCGCAAAGTTAAGCTGCGCAGTAGTTTTTACATTTAATATTGAGTAGCTCGGAGGGTTTTTTTTTTCTACCTAGCAAGGTTCAGTGAAGTGGAGAAGGTGATGGTGGGTGAGAGGAGAGGTTTGAACTAAAGGGGTGGGGTTAACTGGATGGGGGGGTTTGGGAAGTTAGATGGTGATGATGGTGGTAACGATGCAGAGGATTTTCTTTTTTTTTTTTTCTCGTTATTATTGAAAGAGGGGAAAGGCAGCGATCATTCGGTTTTGCAGCGCTTCAGAGCTCCGGGGAGTTTCTCTTGCAACCTGCAGTAGGAACATGAGACAGTGAGAAACAAGGAACTGCTGCTTCGGCCAATGATGAACAACCTTCGTCTTCGTGGACTTACTTAGCCATCGTGGTGTTGACCTGAGTACGAACCATGTCGATGTAGTGATCAATCTGGGTCTGGAAGAGAAAGCAACAAAAGAGCGAGAGAGGAGATGTGATTACAGGAAGGTCCTCGGTTTACAATGTCCCCGACCTACGACCTTCCATTATTAATTCCGAAAGGCTTGTTCCGTCATTTTCAGTGTACAGTGTTCCCTCTCTATATCGTGGTTCTCCTTTTGTTCCCTCAGTACGTCGTGGATTGTCTCGCGAAATTTCCGCTATTTCCCGAAATATAGCAACAAAAAAAACTAAAATACATTATAAAATAATCTTACATACAAATGTTTTGGCTTAAAAAATTGCATTTGCGAACAATCGCTGGTAGCTTGGTTTAGCAAGACGAGATCAAACACAGCATACTATTGGTTAATACAATGCGTACTCGGTGTGCTATTAGCTTATTCAGCATGCTAATTTGTTCCTCACGCTGAAAGGGTAATACAGTCTAGGGAGGGTTGATAACTGTGTGGGGGAGGTTAGTAAAGGGTAAACATATACAGAAATAAAATAACTCTCTCGCCTCTACTTCGCGATTTTTCCCATTTCGCGGTGGGTCTTGCACACACCCCATTGGAGTTTTTTTTGGTCAACTTCCCTTTTTTTTTTTTTTTTTTTTTTTTTTTTTAGAACTCTTTGCCCTTCACCGTGACTCCCAAGCGTAAGTCGGACTCGTCTGATGTTTGTACGTCCTACATGTTACAACTGTGTTTGAGTAGGTGAGAGACACGGGTACTTATACACAGTATGTGAGTTCCGACACATTTCCATGTTAATAATTGAATCAATCAAGTGTGAAACACATCCATCTCCCTGCTGTTATTGGTCTTTCTGATCAAGCAACATGCAGAGGAAAAGTGACATTTAGAAACGATGCGTTCCAATTCATTACAATTAACTGTGATTATATGAGATCATGAATAATCATGATGAAATAAGACTAATTAATGCATGGTTATTAAGTAGATTAAAAATTGTGTTTGTAGAACAGCCCTATATATATATATATATATATATATATATATGGGAGGGTTTATATAAATATATAATATTTTATAAAATAATTATTGATGAGAAAAAGGAAGCATGTTGTCAGTATTACTAAAATTTTGACTTTTATTTAAACTTTTCTTACAGTTCTCTTTAAGCCCTTGCTTGTACATGCTTTCTGTGAAATGATACATTGTAACAACCTAACAAAACATAAAATGATACTAACTAGTATTATAAAACGAATTAAAAAAAAACGTATTAGTTATTTTTAACTTTGCATAGACTTTAATCTGTTTTAAATTATTGCTGTTTTCAACGGTTACCTATCAGCCCGTAGCACGTTCTTTCTACTTTTTCATTTTTAATTTAAACAATTTTGAGTCCTTTACTTTATCTAGAGATGGCTTAATCCCATACTCAAGATCAGTGTCGGTCCAATTTTGGAAAAAACTCGTGTTATTCCATTCCTTCAGAAGTTTACAAAGAAGATGTTTTTTTTGTAGAAAAACCACTAGCATAAATGTTTAAACCTAAACTGGGCATTTGGTGAGAAGCAGCTTTGTTATTTTCATAAATATAGATTGATTTTTCTAATTGCTATTAGTAGTTTTTGACTCGAAATGACAGAAATCCTTCAGCGTCTGAAGTCGTCCAATGAGCCACTTTTTAGTTTAAATACTGTGTTTTAAACCAAACACACACACACATTAGCTTGAGAGCACTAATGATTTAGACGTGTGTGTGTTTTCTGTAGTGGTGGGAGAGGGAGGGTGAGTCTCACCTTGTTCTTCTCATAAATGGGTGGTACGGAGAAGAGCAGGATGTCAGCTGTAGAACACGAACACAGGGACAAGTTTACATGGATGTTTTGTGATTTAAAAAAAAAAAAAAAAAAAAAACTACAAGCAAGCAATCTTGGGGGAGGACATGAAATTCAAATGTGGCAAAATCAGCTTTTTTTTTTTTTTGTTTTTTTTTGTTTATCCTAACATAATTTTTACTTTCACTTTTTTTACTTGACCTTCACTGTGTCAATCATGTGATCACTTTCTCTACATGTAATTTTTGTTTCATCGCAGTTTTGTGCCATAAATCCAAACGTGTTCTTACTGATAAAGCGAGAACATTAACCACTGCTCCACAGAAGTATGACTTCAGTACTGACCTGGCATGCCATTTTGGTCATTCAAATATATATAACACAAGTACTTTGCTTGCAGTACAAAACTACATTTTATCATTAATTGGAGGTCAGTGATGTTCGATAGTAAAAACAATTTTGTAGTTGTTTCATATAAATACTGTAATATACTCCATAAACTGCAAATAGCTAGAACAAATTGTCCTCAGTTTTAAATAACCAAACAGCCCGTATGGCAAAACGAAATTATTATTGACATCCTGTCACGGGCCATTTTTGGGTGGTTTGTGGGCCAGAAGTGGCCGATGTGCCCACGAGTTTAGAACCCTGTTCAAGACAGTCATGTATTGTAGACATATATTGTAATCGAGACAGACTGAGGACTGATCATCATCACCGATGTGTCCAGGCTGCAGCATCCTGGTGTTTCAGATGCCTCATGTATGTAACTAGTTCAACGTTAAAAAATTTAGCAGCTAAGAGGGGAACTAAGCTGCACTCTTTGTCAGGAATGTTGATGTGTGTTGTGTGTGTTGTTCCCATGGTGCTCACCCAGAATGAGAATGGTGATGCCGTTGAACACAGCTCCTACGTAGGTCATCAGCCACATGACCACGGCCAGCTGAGAAGACAAAGCAGACAATGAGGCCCCAACGAAAGCAGAAAGCACAGCAAAAAAAAAAAAAAAAAAAAAAAAACAAGTTGAGTGGCTAGTTATAAGATTTAGTATGAGGAAAAAGAATCCTATTTAAAGTTCTAATTAGAGGTCTCGGTGACTGATGTTCACGAGATAAACAGAGCTGTGACCGCCGGTACCTGGTGGTTGGTCAGAGTCGCCTGCCGTCGACTGGGCTGAACATTGTTTTATGCTTCTAAATCCCCTCTAAATTAAACCTGCAGTTGTTATATATACACAGCTAGGAGTCGTTCGAGTGAACTAAGATGAATGACATGTAAAAGTCACGGATAAAGGCTAAAATGCTAAAATGCTTTTATCATTTGCTACGACATCTATTGGGGAAACGTCGGTATTGCAGGGAAAAGGCAAAAGTATAATGATAATATAAATCATTTATATAATTAGGAAAAGGTTAAAAGGTTTGGCGGGCCGGTTTAAAAGCTAAATGAGCCGCATCTGGACCCCGGGCCTTAGTTTGCCCATGCCTGTTGTAACCTGTTGTACCATATAAAAGAAAACACAAGATGCAAATTTCTACATGTTGGCAATGTTCAATTTCAAAACGCACTTACTACAATCACATACAATAAAACACCGCACGCTAAATCTTGAAGTGTGACCGAGTTAGTTTGTCGTTTTGCTGTTAGCAAGTTAGCTGACAAGTTGGTAAATTTGGTTGAAATAATTCGATGAAATATTGTTTGAATAAATACAGCCCCTTCTCAGCTGCTCTTTAAAAAACAATACTGGTCCGATGTCTATGTAAGGCTAAATCTGGTTGGTTGCCGAGAGCCATTGCCCTGTATTTATTGGACTGACTTTATGAAGAGCATAAAAGGAAAACTGTCATTGAATCCAACCACGTGCTAGCCTGTCTTACTTTAGCTATTTTAACCATGAACGTGTGAAGTTGACCTTAGCAAGTGACTAGCAATACACTTACCAACACCACAGTCCTGTACATATCTTGCATACGGTTCATTTTGATTTTTTTTTTTTTTTTAACAATGAATTGTGGCAGAATGTAGTGTTTATGGAATAACTCCATAAACCCAAAACAGGACAGAACAGTCCATGTGTCTGCATTTATATAAAGGTTCTTCAGTCCAGTCCTTCCAGCAAAATTGCGATGATTTCACAAATTCAGAGCAGTTTTGCAATTTTGGACAAACCAACCTCACGGTGATTTCCATTAATTCATCACTTTCAACAATACTCTATTGCCTGTGCTTCCTGTGTGTTGGTTCAAATCTAGTGTCTCTGCTTAAACAGGCTCATATTTACTGAGCAAAAATGGAGCCTGAGATGGTGCAAGGCCACACACCTAACCTAAACAGCTACAAGTTAACAAGGAATAAAGTTTGCTTGTTTCCTTATAAGCGAAAAAAGTTTTTTTTTTTGTCCCCCCATAGTGTGTGCAAATAACATGTGAAACGGCTATGTATCAGAACAACTTTAACCCCAGGTGATTGAAAAGTCAGATTTATGTCATAATGTGTTGGAAATGTAAAAAAAAAATGAAAGGAAGGTCTCAATCCAATGTCTTAAAGTATACTTAATACTTAAAGTAGCTCTAAAAGATAAAGTGGAAACCATATAAGAACAAAACTATATTTTCCTTTTTTCCACATATGTGTATATTGTATGCCGAGATGAGCGTAATTTTAAAAACTGATGACGATAACTGATATAAACATTTACTTTTCATGTTTTTATTTTTCTTCGATTGTAAGAATTTAATCTGTTTCTCTGTCTAAAATATTCCATTTGTATCTCAAAATTTTTGTTAAAAACACCCCTGGAAAATTGTACGTTTTTGAACACATGACAGATTTACAGTTAGCAACTTATGGTTTTGTGCTTAAGTTACCAATTAGTTAGGAATCTCAGGACTTTTTGCACATTCTCAGCATAAATAGGTGAATGTCAGGAAATTCTTTACATCGGTTTTACCGAGTTTGTATTTCATCTGCCAAACATGTTGAGGTGGTTTATGCGGAATATTTGGAGTCAAGCTGTTGACACAGATGTGTACGCCTCACTGAGGCATGTGTCAGGTGGCAGCTGGTCATCATTGTTGACTGCCTCCTGAATGATGACGAAGATGTTTAGTCTATTGTAATATAATAGACACCAGTTGGTTTGATTTTAATGACGCAGCTGTGACTGTTTATCCCCCCTCCCTTAAAGTAAAGCCAGTAAAGTCAGCACTCTGAGGAGAATGGAAACAAATGCTCAACTACAAGTCAACTAAGCTGCCGTCTCGGAGTCTTTGGCTGCTCACCTTTAGGGAGTCCACAAGGTCCTCTACCAGAAAGAGGCGGCTCATCTTCTTCAGGGCCTGGTTGATGTAGGTCATGCTGGAGTCCACGTGCTTGCGGAAGGTCTCTGGGGGGATGGTGACATCCTTTTCTATCAGCCCTCTGCACAGAGGGAGGAGAGGAGGACAGAGGAAAATGAGGCTACAGTACATGTCAAGGCTAAAAAAAAAAAAAAAATGCTGCAGGAAAACATACGCAACCAAACTGTAGGGGAAGAAAGTTTAGAAGAGAGAAGGAGCTGTGACTTGTTTTACTTTTGAAAAACAATGCTATGTCATGGGGCATTAAATTATTGGGATCAATATCTCAGTTGAAGCCGACATCAGAGGTCAGTTGCTGTGAAACTGTGACATTTAAAACCCAAGTTCAGGTAGCAGCTAAGTGCTCTGCATTGCAGTGCATTTTGTAGTTTCACCAAAACTGAATGCATCAAATTCACTGCTCGTAAAAGTACTCTATGTCAGTGGTTTTCAAAGTGGGGGGCGTGGACCGCTGGAAGGCCACAAGAAGAGAGTGTAGGGGTGGCACAGAAAATTAAAAAAAAAAATGCAAAAAATTCTATACATTGTATACATTGTATAATGTATAGAATTCTTTGCATTTTTTTTGCAAATTTTTCAAATGTCAGGGTGAAAAATGACATTTTTCAAATGTCAAAAAAAAAATGACATGTTTTCAAATGTCAGGAAATTTTTTTCAAATTTTCTGTGTAATACTTGTTGGATTATCAAGTTTACGAAGATAGCCCGAAAGCTGCGACTTCGGCATGATGACGTCATAATCTGTGTAGACCTAGCGGTTTGTGCCTCTTGTCAACCGGCTCTCCTCCTCCAGCTAGCTAGTGCATGTTTTTTTTTTTTTTTTTTTTTTGTTATGCTAAACAATTATTAGTAGTGAATAAAAAAAATGGAAATACATTCTAAAACTGTTTTAGATATTTCGCTCTAGCATTGTCTGTGGGTTTGCAAAAACTCCTTATATGAATTTCTTTTAAGAAAAGACTTCACTTTTTACAACTACGACGGGCTATACAATTTGTGGAAATATTTCGTATCCAAATGGTGATGAAAACACTATCAACCAAAAAAATGTTTTCTAAAACAATTTAACACATCGTGCTCTGGTATCGCCTTGCGTCCCCAGCCCCCTCTGCACGTGCACTTCTCACCTTACTGAAGGCTAAAAGATGTATCCTGGTGGTGGTGGTGTTTCAAAATGTCAAGGTCAAGGTAAAGACGACAGGAAGAGTGGCGTAAAAGTATCACAATTGAACTGGTGTGACGTCTGTAATGTGTTGCAACACCAGGAATCTCTTTTAACTTCCTTAAATTCAAACACCCGTGCTTCACGACCGAGCAACACAGAGACAGAAAAGGTCAAGCAAAACTACTACTATCGATAAAAGACGTGCTCTGTAGTACAACAGCAGTACTACCGAGTATTTTTACTGTTTCAGCTGACTGTAATGCACCAGATGTCCTTGGATTGAATTACTGTCTGAACTGTTTGAAATATATTTCATTAAATGTAGAATACATGTACAGAAAGGATCAGCAGATATTTTGTCCGTCTTAATGGCTTAATGGTCCTGTTTTTCATTTTCAGAAATGTTTCGTTTTTGGAGTCGACACTGATACAAATCAACAACATGCACGCTAATTTCAGTGATGATAGTTTGTTAACGTTAGACCTGTTCTGAACATCACCTGGGGTTGACGTCAGACATTTGAGAGTTTAATATTATTTTCGACATAAGCTATTTAAGTCATAGCTTTAGGAACACTTGCAAATGTTCCATTATAATCAAAAATGCAAACGATGACCTGAACTACTGCATTATCACTTTTGAAGCAGCTTATATCAGCATCTGTCAAATTCAACAAGTGTTCAGTTTCCGACATCCTCAAACTACGGCGTTTCATGGTCACGTCGCCATCTACCATAAATTTATTAAGACTTGTTCCATAACTCTGACGCACAGCGGTAAAGCAAATTTCGTATGGGAACTAGTCGGCGAGCAGTAGCTGTAGGAACAGAATCCCAACATAAGTTAAACACCCCCCCTCCCCCTGTACATTTTCTCCGACTTTGCATTAGAGACACAGATAACAGTTTCAAACACAATTTGAAAAAGGCACACATCACGAACGGTGTCACTGCCGCTTTGTCTTACTTGAAAGGGTGACCGTCGCTGGACTTCTGCACAGCCTGGACCACAGACTTGTAGATGCGGAAGGTGATGGTAACACAGAGCAGGGCGAGCAGCAGGTAGGAGACCACGCTGATGACACTGAAGGCTGCCAGCGACAGCAACAGCAGCATGGACACACCAAACACCACGCCCGTCTTCTTGGGGTCTCGCCAGTGGATCAGATCTTTCACTGCGGGGTGGAGAAAGAGAGGGTCAAATTCACCACAAAAAGCACACAAGAGACTTTTGGTGGCAATCCCTTGGTGTCTGAAATCAAATCTGAACTAAGGGACTCTGAAATGGCTGGGTGATTAATTGAGATTGGATTTTTATTTTTTGGCGTTCCGCGATTATGAGGACAAGACAGCCGTCTTAAACGATTGTTGTTTCATTAGCCTTGCTCACGAGTTGCTCACAACGGTGTGCTGCAACCCACCCCATACACAAATATTTGTTTCACTTTGAGCACTTTTGAGAGAGCAAACAGGAAGCAGCGGTTTAACACATACTAAGATTACTCTCTCCGATTAATTTTTGTTTAAATTGCACCGCGGTTTATTACGACTGCACTACCGCATAGATTTCTTTATATTTATTATTTGCATGTGTACTGTAGCGCGGCGGTAAAATGTCTCACAGCCCGTTTGCTGTTTTTCATAATTAAGCTGTTCATTCCAGTTGAGTCTATAGACACTACCGACCGCTGCGAGCTGCGAATTCGATACCATACCCGCGGCAAAATCTAAGCTGGCCGGCGCCGAACGACAACACAGAACATAATGCACGTGCGGCCATACGATGGTGCGTTCAAGGCACCCTGGAAAATGCAGTAAAAAGCAGGACATAGAACAGTCATTTCAGGAAGAATATTGGGGATAACACACAACGTAACTACAGATTCCGCTATACATTTTAAAAGCTCAATAAAAGCAATTTCTCAAATTAAAGAAAAAATAATAATTTTGATTCATTTTCAATGTTACCAGGGAATATTTGCCACTTTGCGATTACTACGATTTGTGACACGTAATTAGGGTCCCCTGAAAAACCGAATCTCTTGTATTCATAAACAAAAATACACCTCCCGATCAGATGAAACGGGACACGCTTTGTCCTGTGTTACCGTGAGACTCAAAAATAGCCTGCAAATTGTCAATGGAATTAATTAATTAACAGGACGCTTTATACGCAAACTCAAGTGACCCGTATTGAATACGTTATCACTTACTTTGAGATCTCTGCTACGACAAAAACTGTGTAAAAAAAAAAAAAGTGTTACTGAAAAGTTGTAAAACGTGCATCTACAGGAGCTAAAGAGTACTAAAAGTATTCTGGCCCAGTAAAGTGCGAGTTGGCTTCATGAATCTCTGGTGCACGCTGCCAAGAATCAAAGGGAGGAATGAAGCTGGATATGCCCACGTCACGTTTGCATGCATGTCCTGAGTGGAGTACTGCATGCAGAAGTAATGGCTTTTATACAAGGCTGTTGTGTAATGCTGTGCCGAGACTCCACTCCCACGTGAAGAGCAAACAGGAGTGTTTGAAAGTGGCTTGTGTAGAAAGTGTAGACAGGCCCCCTAACGATTGGACGCCCTGGGGACGATACAGACCTCCTTACTCCAGCTAGTTTATTGGGAGCATGAGCTATATAGGTCCCACACACACATCACATCGAAATCTACTGGCTTTTCATTCAAATGATTTGCTAAATCTCATATGCCCCGTACGAACTGTACGCTGACCAGTCCCGAGAACGACATGCTAATCTTGTCATACCGAAAACAGAGTCCGAAAATATGTGCATTTAGCCCGGGTGTCAAAATGTAGACGTTGATGCTTTAAATTCAACTGTGCTGCACATACAGTATTTTGAGAGATTAAAATAAACGTTAGGTAAGCTAATGGTAAAGGCTACATGTAGAGAAAGCTATATGAAGAGAATTTATATTGTCCTTTTTGTCAAGTGATCCCTCTACCAAGATTACCAATTCCATGTACAGTCGTCTCAACTTTCCCCATCGTGCTTTACGGGTGTGATCATGTGACAACAGCCATCACAACTCGCTACCTACGTAGATGTGATCTAGAGCAAACTTTGTTTTATAACCACAAATTTAAAACGTATACGTGCTGAACACAGCAGGCCATGCACAATGGGATGCAATGTATTGCATTTTTTGTCATGCAATACAATGGCATCCTCATCGTAATTGCATCATCTATTATGCAACATTTTCTCCTTTTTCCTCCCGGACACTTACTACAAACATTTACTGTTTAAATTTTAAAGTAACTCGAGGCGTTATAGCACTGTGTCCACAACGAAATGTAAAGAAGGTCTTTTACCAGGTTTATTCGTATTTGTTTTCTCTTACTACGTAGACATGAAGGCGACAATTCCATCGACCTTCGTGTATGCGCAACCCCTTTAATAACCCAGTGAGGAGCAGCACTGCGGTAATGTATTAAAATAGAACAGGCTGAGGGCAGGAGGGGGGAGGGAATCCACAGCATATGCTCATCTACAAAGCACACCACCACCAAACTTCCTGCCCAACACAAAGTGTTCGACAATAATTAGCCATTTAGAAACACGTTACTGGTGTACACTGTCCACGAGCCTGCAGCAACATTAAACACATCCAGTGGCTTAACCTTAACACGCTTTTCTGAATATTTTTTGCCTCTGCTGATTGCCACCGCCCAACACAAATCAACAAAGATTGGGCATAGATTACTGACTCTGTGCCAAACTCTGCCTGTGTATGTGTGGAATGTTTGTAGAAAAGGGAGGGTGCTGCAGAACTGGCATTTGTAATACTTGAAATACAACACTCTTTGAACGACAGCACGAGCATTGTAAGCTCACGGTTGTTCTAAATGTTTTGCTAATCAGCCTGACAGCCTAACAGACCGAGTTTATTACTTCCAAAAAGAGTCAATATTTGACATGTAAAGGAAGTCCATTTGAGAGTCAAGACCAATTTTAAAAAGTTAGTATTCCTTGTTAGGAATGTTAGCAATTACAGGGTTTACCCTGTAATTGCTTAAATTGTTGAAAGGCAAAACAATAGCATGAAAGGAGGAGGGATTAAGATTAATAATATGATTACAAACCTTTAAATCATTGTTATTTTTGAACATTTTTTGATCTTGCTTTTCTTGTTAACCAACAGTGCTACAGAGCACAAAGGCAGACACCGGACACTGGGGGATTGACTGTACCCCCATGACTTTCATGGCTTTTGCAAGCCAATACTCTGCCACCATATTTATACTCCCACTCAGTCACTCTGTGTCTATGGATCACTGCTGAGCCAGAAAGGACAGAGGGCAGAACAGGGTCACTAGCTTAATTTGAATGAAAATCACTGGGTTACATGCAGACAAAATGTCTAGACACGATCGACGCGACGCATCGTTTTGGCAGCTATAATATCTAACGACTGCACTCTATGCACCTAAAGACAAATACCTTGGTATTTGTCTTTAGGTAAGTGTAAGTGTGCACCTCAAATGTTAAACATGGGACTATGAACGTCTGGGATATTAAGAGATACCCTTATTAGCACCAACAAGGTACCTCAGAAGCCGCCGCATCAAGACGAGGTGTCTCATCTTTTAGGGTTCCATAGACAGACCGACACGATACCTTCTTGAATCACACCGTTTATGGCATTGAATGCATCATATTTGCCACCGTGCATCATGCTTTGTGTCATTTTTGCCGTATTTTACACCCTCAAATAATGCCGTTTTCACACTCAACTAAACTCGAAATGGGGGTTTCGATCCACAACTAATTATTTTGGGTACGGAGCCATTAAAACTACTACGCTTCTGATCACACGACAGTGTATATGTCAGTTTGGCAGTAGTTCACGCACTTGATCCCATTCTCAATGTGAACAAACCACGCATTAAGTGATTAAGTAACAGCAAATCACAAAATTAAAAGTTCTCAGATCGGCAATCTGCCAATTCTTTTACCTGTGATGAGAACTAAAATTTTGGGCTGCAGAACAGCACATCATATTTGATTTTGGGCTGCAGAACAGCACATCATAGTTGTAAATGTTGTCGACTGAAAAAAAATTTAAATCGGCAAACGTATAAGCAAGTCATACTTACCAAACAAATCAGAAATAGGCTGATAAAATTGCTACCTCTAGAACAGGTTGATTGTTTTAAAATCGATCCTTTAAGTCCGTCTAAAGGTGCATTTAAAAAAAAAATTGCAAGATGCACATATGTATATGTGAAGTAAACTGAGAAACTCACTTTTAAATAGCAGACGTTCACTGCTTCACTTAGCTTTGACTGAGAAACTCACTTTTAAATAGCAGATGTTCACTGCTTACTCACTTAGCTTTTGACGACTTGCGGGTTCTTACTCCTTACTCTACATACAGACCTGTTCTTTGCAACGAGTATGAGCTGCGCCGAGGTCTAAGCAGAATTCAGGAAATTTCACACTTTGTTAACTTGTAATTTAAGTCCCGGCTTTAAGGGCAATAAGGGTATATACTTTTATATACCGCTTTGTTAACTTGTAATTTAAGTCCCGGTAATTTAAGTGCAATAAGGGTATACTTTTATATACCTAAATCAATAAAAAGTGAAAAGCATAGCAAGACTGAAAAGACTGTTATAGGGAGCATTTGAAACAAACAAACAAACAAAAAAAATATGTTACTGAGGTGTTAACATGTGTCAAGTCAACTGACCTATAGAAAGTAATGTTACCTGATATGTGAGTTAGTATCGTTGTCAAGACATGCTCAGCAAGATGATAGGCTTCATCTACCCACTCATCAATAGTTTCCATCTCTTTGGAATTCATGCTGCCTGATTCATGGCCTTTTGGTGAACATTTTGGGGTAGGAACTGATGAAGTGGTTGACTTCTTCACACGTGGAACATTGGGGTTGTTTTCCTCAGGAATCGTCGTGTGCAAAGAGGGCACGTCGTCCTCCTCTTGACTGCTTCCCAGCTCTTTGAGAGCATTGATGGTAAGCTGTTCTTGTTCAAGATCCATAATCATGGTTAGAGGGGTCTGGGAGATAGCTAACGGTTTCTCGCTGATTTTGGCCTCTGAAAGAACATTTTGGTGTCGGTGGTCTGGTTCTTCCTCCTGCCTGGATTTCAGGCACTCCCGCATAAACTCCACAAAGCTATCTTCTGACCCAGGTTCTTCAGGTTCAGTAGCCATTGCCTCGAATGTTTTTTCAGGTGCCAAGGCATCAAATGTTTCTTCGTTTCCTTGACGGTTGATCACAGACCTGTTTGAATCTTCTTTGAATATAAGCGTCTCGCCATCACTACGAGATGTGAGGTTAACCAGGTATGGATTTTCTAGACTATCATTTGTCAAACTGGTTTCAACAGAGCTGATATTCTGTGCTTCATGTTGAGTTTTGGAGGAATCGTAAATAATTGGGTCATCCAGCGTGGCAGTTGCATCATTATCAGAATCAAATGACTGAGTGAGTTTGCTGTAGACATCACCCTGCACGAAGCTGGTATCAGATCTGGAGACCGTCTCTACAGAAGTCCCTTTTGTGGTCATGAAGGTACTTTCGCCTATGTTGTTCTTAGTACAAGAAACAGGTTGAATCGAAGAAAAATTTGTCCGGGAAGACGCGACCTGCACAGTTTCACCTTCATCTGACCAGTCATCATCACCGTCAGAAAAGTCCACCTCTTCATCTGGGTCTGTGAAAGGTGAGGGTTTATCAATTAATCTGTTGGATAAAGTGTTGGATTTATCTGATACTGTTTGAGAAAAGTCAGATGTTGTTTCCTTCAAAACTGTTTGACTCTGTGACACCTCGGGCTGACATGTGTTCTCCTGGTTACTAGCCTCTTGAAGATATTTAGGCTTGTCATGTTTAGGCGAGTATTCAGCATCAGAGTCGACGGGGGAAGATGAGGGAGAGTAGCCTTCCCCCATTTCTGGTTCTACTTGCTGTGTCTTGGTTGGTCTGTTTTTACTGTCCTCTGGTTCGGGTGTTTTGGGTGCCTCTGTGGAGGAGTCTTTCAAAACCTGAAAATCTTCTATCTCTTCTTCACATTCAATGTCCATCTCCTCTTCACTGTAATTGGGTTCATCTGTCTCAATAACATTTATTGTTGGAACCTGCATTAGCTTTCTCTCAGACTTCGGTGGAATTATGACCTTTTCCTCAGTGGAGAAATCGGAGCCTGCAGAAGCAGAGGCAAGGTCCTTTGAAACTTCTGGTTCAAAAGACGCAGTTGTAACAGAGGCAGGATGAATGACGCCATCTTCGATGACAGTGTCATCTGATTCTCCTGAACTGTCCATTTCACTTCCCTCTGGTGGCTCGTGTTCCCTGGTCACTGATGTCTTGTCCTCGACAATTTGCTGTTCAGTGCTAATACCAGTTGGTGGGGAATCAGACGGTGGGTGGTCCAAACCTACATGACTCGCCGGAGATGCTAGAACCTCTGAATCAAGATTTGTCCTAAACTGAGCATCTGTTTTTTCTTGCTGATCCCACACGTATGCCGTTGGCAAAAAACTAAGGTCAAACTCGGACTCCTCCTCAACGCTCAGTTGCTTCTGTGCAATGTCAAGATTATCATTTACTTGAGCCGTTTTGACTGGAGAATCAAGGAATGCATCCGGAACACCAGCAGTGACAGCATCAGAAACGGGTGAAACATCTTCTTTTGCCTCCTTTGTTGCAAAAAACTCTGAAGTCTTTGCAACTTTAGTTACATTTACAGCATCAAAGTTTGGAATGGGAGGTAAATGAGCTTTCATCCACTCCTCTGTCTCTTCAACGTCATTAACATTTCTCAAATCTCCGAGTACTTCAAAGGGAGATTCAGGTGACTCTAGATCAGTAGAACCACCTTTTTTGGGGAGATCTTGTGTACTTTTTCCAATAAGAGTATTCTGTGGTTCAGCGGCATACTTATGAGCGTCAGTCAGTGAATTTGGGATCTCGCTGGGAATTTTTCTGATTACAGTGGTAAATTTTTGGGTTTCGAACGGAAACCTTTGGGCCTCAAAAAGAACCCTTTTCGCATCAGTGGGCGATTTCTCATAGTGACGATCTCTAACCTGAGAAAAACCACCATCACTTCTGATATCAGGCTCCTTCTGTTTGGCTGCAAGAGCTTCCAGAGCTTTTATTCTTTCAGAAACAGGAGATGTTTTTATCGGTGATTCTGGTTGTCCATCAGGTGACCCTGCTTCAGTCCCGTAATGATCAGGTATAAAAGTGCCAGGTTGAGATGGAAAGCGAAGGGATGTCGCTACACTTTCGCAGGGCTTTTCTGAGCCCAGAACAACTCGTTTGTCTGCATCGTCATGCATGAAAAAAAAAATAAAAGCAAAGGTAAAGGATGGGAGGTCAAACAATTAAAGACATTTTACTCTCATGCACTTCTATAGTTATGCGGAACTTGCATGTTGCAGCCCAAGCACTCGTGCATTGCATCATCATCAAAAAGTACGATCTTGATCATCAATTACAGCTTCAACTGCATGCTGTTATACTAATCTTTAACTTAAACGTTGCGATTCCTTTAAAATAAATGAAAGGAATGGCCATATGAAGCAGCTAGAGGAGACATGATTCTTACAATGTACAATGTATGGTAGTAGCAGTCAGTGTATCAGTGTATAATACACCATACTGGATAGAAATCATTTTCTTTTTGTCGTTTTAAAGAAAATGGCTTTCCATTACATCTGAAGCTTTTGAAATGGCAACTGTTCAGTGTGAACTTTGCAAAAATGTAAAAAGAAGAATAAAACAACAAAAACAACATTCAAGTCAGCTCTAGAATTTAAAAATGCAGTCTTGATTGCTCGCTGTAAACATAAAGCCTAAATGCATCAGTATTGAGTATCACAAACATTCTCTAAATAACCAAAAGTACCAAAGTAGACAATCTCTAAATAACCAAAAGTACCAAAGTAAGTCTTCTTCAATCTGTTGTCTAAATTGAGGATATCCAGCGCACGCACCAAAAAGACCTGAGTTTCAAATGCATTGAAGGAATTGGGTATAGGTAAAGAGCCATGGGTGGACAAACTGGGAACTTCCCGGGTTTATAAACAATCTTGTCCGACAACCAATATTCCAAAACACTAGTGAGGAGAGATTAGCTGAATGGGACGTGACAATAAATTGTTTAATTGTAATAAATGTTAATTTACACAGCTGTCGCATTTGACTTTACCACCTTATCTGTCACACCACTATGGCCATCCAAAGGTGTCTATAAGAGTGACAACAATGTCAGTGTTTCAGAGAGGTCACGTGACTGCTGGTCCACCAAGGACCCAAAAATCTTTACAGTAACACAAACAAACGACCACCTTCTAATGGTCTCATATGATCTTGAATCTAGATTTAGTTCCTTTATCTAGACTTTATGGAGATTCAACATGATGTCATGATCTCGGCCCTTTTTTGCCTGTGTGTAAACACAAGACGCAACACTGTTCTAAAGCCCAACTGAATGGCTTACAATACAGAGCCTTGTTTAAACCTCTGCCACATCATTTGACTTTGCACGGTGTCAAAAATCGCTGTCCTTTTCTGGCTTTTTAACTGATAAACAAACAGCAACTACAACTGGGAGAATATGAATACAGATAAGAGATAAGTAACTGGAATGTGGCATAGGTCTGTCACATGCATATGGCCAGAAACCTTCTTCATTTCAGGTTGTTTGTAGAAACAACCTGAAAAATTTGGGAGATCACTGTGCATCACATACGACATGCAAAAAACATTTTAATTATCAACTTCCAACTGAGATGATAAATGTTTATTGTTGAACTATATTGCTTCATTCTTTCATGCAATCATTATAATATTTCAATTTTTCCTAATTTTATCAACTTCTGTCTCGTTTGTTTTTAGCTACCATCAAAACACTGTTACATTGACTATGCTAATCATGGCTAAACTCCCTGCCTGTAGAGAAAGTTTCATCCCTGAAGGCCTGTTAACAAACATTCCAAGTGATAGGACATCATTGGCACAGTGAACATCAGATGGGATGTTGCCTAGTTATGTGGACCACAGAGATTGGAAGACTATATAAAGCTTGGTAAAAACACCTCACGTGCCTTTCTGAGTTCAGACTAGTTCTACATGTATCTCTGAACAAAATACCCAAAGCCAGAAAAAGGATTTATTTATGCAACACAAATACAGTGTTTTGGAATTAAAAAAACATTTTAGTACCAAAAGGGCAAAAAGTTAGATGTTAGATCAAATTGTAGTTCAAATTCCAATACAAGCACAACCGGAAATGAACCAGAAAGCATTTTAGAAAATTAAAAAATACGTTAATGCGCTACCGTCTTTGGTACCTTGCTCTTGAACCAGTAATAAATAAATAAAAAAAAGTCTGCATCCACAGTTGCAGCATGTTTTAGTCTCATTGAACCGGTGAAATAAACTGACATATCAGTTCAATTGATTGTTTAACAAAGAAAATTAAAATGGAAAATAATTCACTCTGCTGCCCACTATTGCATCATGCAGCTCACGTTAAGAGGTGGCCTGAATGTGATACAAAAAAAGCAAAATAAAATATATATATAAAAGAGATAAATAAAACATTAGAATAAGTTTAAAAAAAAGGGTCAAAGTCAAGTCACGTATATTTCAATTTAAGATAGGGGGTAAACTTTATCCTTAATTTGATTTAATTTTTTTCCACCTCTTTAAACTATTTTGATTTAATTTTTTTCCACCTCTTTACACTACTTTAAACTACTGGAACACACTGTCATTGTTAAAATAGTGACATGAGGATCTGAAAAAAGAAGTCATCAAATGAAACCTATTTTCTACTGCTTGAATCAAGGATGTCAGACATGCACAACGCCTAACAAGCTATAAAAGCAGATAGGTGGGGTGGAGGGCAAATAAGCAGCCACAGGAAATGTCAGGCCCAAGCTAATGGTTGGTGAATGGTTTCTCCAGTGCCACTCATCCCCCGGGACCTGGCAACTACCGGGGTAGAAGGAAGAAGAGTCTTCATATTGGGTTAGCAGGAAGGTAGGACCAACCCTGAGAGACGTCAACCTGTTCCATATTTAGGTTTCTTCTCTTGTGTGCAAACTGTGAACTTAAACGTCAATGCTTTCTTAAAATATGACCAGTCGGCCTTGGGATTATCTGGAACCTACTGAAACTAGGGCTAGAGGTCATTGTGTTGCCGACTATCTTAATCAGTTGCTATTTTTGTTCTGTTGCAGGCAGGAGAGGGGCACTAGATAAAGGAATGAAGAAGAGCGTAGCAGCAGGCCAGCGTGAGGATACAGAGAAGGGAGGAACGGGTTAGCAGCGTAAGAGAACCATACACTTGCCTTGAGGAGACTGAATGAGAGATACAGGCGAAGAGGAAAGAAAGGAATCTGAAAAATGAAAAAAAAGGACAGAAGAATGATCATTCTAGAAGAGAGGGAGAAAACCGACTGATCTGCTGCACTTGTTCAAATAAAAGCATTCAAAACAGAAGTCGTCAGATTCAGCCTTAACAACTCTACTGTTCCTACAGACAGGACGGAATGATTTAAACAGAAGTGCCTCATGCATATGCTCTCACGCCGGTCAACCTACTGCCTGCTAAAAACATGCACCTTAGCTGCTATGCAGACACATGGATGAATAAACTGATACAAATGCAAATGTGTTTCTCGGACAACCTAATTAATACTGGAAAAAAATTCTGTAATTTTATGTTTAACGTGGTTAATGCACTCATGTAGAGATTATGTAAACCATTTGGCCATAGGTATGTGGGCAGACTTGTCCTACACACCTGCCAGCCTACTTTAGGGCCTGGTCCATTTTTCATGGACTGGGTGGGGCTGTTCTACTCAACGTACAAGGGTGTTTCCCTGCTTCTCAAAGGCAACATACATCGTTAAACACCGTCAATGTGATTTAAGAAAACTTACACTTAGTAAAAGTTGTTAATTCACAAAAGGTAGTATTTAGACTGATGGCTAATGTGAATTGAAATTATTTCATCTACGGTATTTTAATCATCATGTCATGTTTGTAGTAATGGGTTGACAGTATTTATTAATATTCTTAAATTTGAGTGTATGTACGTGAATCTACTCCAACTGTACTATCATGTAGTAGGGTTGCACCAATCTAATATCGCACATAAGACATCTGCTCCTATCGGCGATATCGGCGACTGCTGCCCCCGCGACCCGTTAACGGATAAGCGGATGAAAATGGAAAGATGGATGGATAGATATATGTTCCTAAATTTACTAAATAACTAAATTGGGCATCGGATAGTGGGGCTCATCCTTTACGCCCATCAATTTATCAAACTGTCTGGGAGGTGGATGCTAGGTCATGCATTAGCGGAACATTTAATGCTGGTAGACGACAACCACAGAGAAACAAGAACCATGTCAAAGAGTCAGCTCTTTAGCAGTATTTCAAACTTGCAACTGAGAAATTTTTTTTAACACAATGAAGCAGTTGACTTTTGTTGAGGTACTGCAGAATACTTTTAACTGACAGAATCAGAGTCAACAATACCATACGAGGTCCTGATATTGTTCTTGATGTGCAAACCCTTTTCGGTGTCTGAAAACAATGGTTTTCAAAAGTACATGTTCAACTTGAGCATGAAATATTAAAATACTTTTGAGGTAAAGCTCTTGAGGCAAAAGGGAGTAACAACAAAAACACCTTGAAACAAGAGCTGGTTTAATAAAAATACTATGCCCCAACTTTACCATTTTCAAAAAATAGAATTGCATATATATTCATATGTTGTGAATCAAAGTAAAACGCCTGCTGTAGTGTGCGCTGCTGCATTTATATCATAGAATAAGAGGCAGGTGAAAGGCACAATCATCTTATTTCAATCTTCTTGTTTTCATAATTGTGGGTAGCTAAAATGCATCAGAACAAAATTTTGATTAATCTCCCAGCCTTACTTTATTGATCATTAGAGAAGGTTGTCTTTGTAGGTATGTTATGCTTGACTGGCCTGCCTGCGGTACATATCTGATCTAATAAACATCTTAGTAAAAAAAATAAAAATTCTTATAATTGTCAGGTCTGATGCATCGTTTTAACAGAGCTTGCACATTTAAAGTAAGAACGTCTGCAAAAATTAAACATCACAATCGCACACGCCGTTCACCAACATCCACACCCACACCTGTTTCTTGAGTTGAACGTCTGCGAGACTTCTGTGTCATCAGTTTACGAAACACACCCACACCAACAGTCTCGTCCTCGCCCTTTTTAATGCAATGCAAACATCTAAAATGTGAAAATGATGTGAATGAAGATATGCAAGTGTTTCAGGTTTCGTTGAAAGTGGCAGAATCTTCGCTGAGCTGAACCTAGCAGCAGTCGTTACAGGCTCAGCAAGTCAGGGTTGCCGGGCCATTGCAACGCAGCATTCCTTGTGTCAGATTCATCCAGCTGACAATCACCCAACAGACCACACCTTCACTTTTTAACCCAAACGAAAGCTCTAAATCATACTCATATCCAAAGACGTACAGGCGAGGCAGCACCAAGTAGTTTATTAGACAGCGCTGATGAGACAAAATGTGAAAATTAATGTGTAAACCACTGTGACATTATCAGCCTGACTTGCATAGTTTTAACGACTGAGGTTTTTCATGCAATACTTGCAGTACATTTCATCTCAAAACAGGTATAGCCATCTGAACTAAACTATATCATTAGCATCAGCTAAATTTGGTGTGACCTGGTTTTGAATGTACAGATTTTATAGAAACTGGTTTAAAGGTAGCCTTTAGTTTATATGCATAAGTCAAGCGATAATATTAAAAGTTGTTTAGTTTTACTCTAATGACTCATTATTACCTCAAGTCAACTGGTGATAATAGCGATACAGAAAGAAAACATTGAAAATTGACCAGGAAAAAAATATGTAGCATATCAAGCTAACCTGTGCGGGACCATGTACAGCAGCAACAACTGCTATAGAACCCCAAAATCATTTATAAAGAAACACTGCGTCTTTAGCTTTAGCTCCTGCTAGTATAGTGGTGGAAGTGATGATACAGGCCTAATGTGCTCATAACGTCTGCGCTAGTGCACTAGCTCTAGAGTGCTTCCCACTGCTTGTGGCTGTGCGATTGCATTTTACTGCTGTGATGTTTGTTCAGAGAGGAAGAAGCACAAAGATCAATGATTTGGTCAGTCAGGAAGAGAGCCGAGTCTGGAAGAATGTGTTCCTTGAGGCTGTGTCATGTATTGAACAACTCCAGGGCACATACCCATTTTTAACAAGTGAGGTTCTGGACAAAGAATGTAAAGCTGAACAAAGAAGTGAAGGTCAGCTATATGATCAGCAATGTTTAAAATGCAACTGATATGTTAAGAAAAGGAATGCATGATACAGACGTTTTTCAACCGAAGCCCATAATAAGACAAGAAACAAGAAAAAATAGTGATATATAGTACTTTAAATTTTGGCTGCACTGTGCCACCATGTCAAAAAAAGGACGTTTCACTTCTTGAAGCGCTACAGAATTTGACCTGTTCATTCAAAGTCTCGATACATGCATTTAGTAGAGTAATTCCAAAAATTCCCTTGGTTGGTAAGATAACACATAACTCCTCATCATTTTGTTTTTCAGTGCAGCAAAACACAATTAAACAACAAACTGCGCTGAAAAAAACATTGGGTCTGTAGTGACGTCCTTCGATTTCACCCGGAGAATCAGATGCAACATGGAATGACACAAACTGCGCTGAAAAAAACATTGGGTGTGTAGTGACGTCCTTCGATTTCACCAGGAGAATCAGATGCAACATGGAATGAAGAAATGAAGAAATGAAGAAATGGGGTCTTCCTGAAATCGAAGTATGCCACTTCCTTTGTGACCGGTGTCAGTCATCAGAGTGGAAATTAAGAGAAATGGGACTCGGCTGCAGATTCAAGCTCCACTAGTAACTGTATCTTTAGTATCTTCACAAAAAAAGATGGAATGTCAACTACCGAAACGCAACACTGCCGTATCATTAATGAAAATTATATAATAAATAAATAAAGGGATATCGCTCAACGTATCCACCTTTAAAGTTCAAAATGATTCTGATTTTCCTTAAATTTCCTCAAAGGGAACTCCTGAGGGATTAATAAAGTTCTATCCAATTTATTCTAAAATAAAAAAAAAAAATTAGGTGAACTTATTTTGGTTGGTGCAGAATTTAATTTGGTGTAGCATCGCCGGAATCTCCAGATCATGTGCTAGTGTCTTAAAAGCAGTCTTTGTGATGTGGTACCATTTTAGAAAGGTCTGCTGTAATTGTACTACAGCGATGGAATGGGTTTATTTGTTCTTCGGAACCATTCATATCTTAATGGGTTTATTTGTTCTTCGGAACCATATCTCCAAAAACATCTTAATTCTTCTTATTAATAAATGCATGTAAACCAAGATTTTAACTCACGTTAACAAATGTGCTTATCCATTCACAGAACAAAATGTGCTGTAAAAATGTGAATGTGCCAAAGAAGAAATATGCTCTCAGTGAGTACTTGTTTTTCAGACCATTTCCAATAAACCCTGGAACTAATCGAACGAGGCTGACTTGCACCAGCAGCCATTTAACAAAGTGTCTAATCATCGATCTCTACCTTTGTTATCCCCAGCGTGAATGTCAGCAGCTCCTCTTGAACACGTCTACATTTTTGTTAATGCATTGTATTACTAATTAAACACTTTCATTATGAGGGGTCCAGTAGTCAACTTTAGGAAAGCTCTGTGAGCAAATGTGTTTCGCCAGAAATACTAAAATATTAATTAACATTTATATTTTATGAAAGGAAAGGGTGACGTTACATTCTTATGACTAAATTAATGGCTGTTTAAATCCCTCTCTCAGTAAACTTTACTGAGTAAATGGGTGCAGCAATGATGTCATCCATTGTGTTATATCCAGATTCCAGATACTACAGTCATTTCGCTCGTCGACTCATCCACAGGAATGAGTCTTTGGGCCTTTATTCCCCAAGGCTAGTCTTCAAATCTGCTGTTTGTCAAAGCTAAAGAGACCAGGATGTTCTACCAAAGACATACGTATTTTACATTCAAGTATTTGCAAGTGGTTTCTCTCCTGCTAATTACTTCCTCTGGTGTATTGCATAAGTGACATCCCTGAGGTTATGAATATATTAATCATTATTTTAAACATTATAATGTATGACATAGCTCTCACAGTTGGGACTGTGTTTACGTAAAAATGGCGTTTAGTTTGAGCTTTTAAATAGCCATCGACTGAAAACCACCCTTGTTTATGACCTGCCCCACCCTGCCTCACCCAACTGACATGTAAAAATGCATGTGCCATAATTCAATAAGCCATCAAGAGTAAATGATAACCAATGATTTCCTACGAGATATGCCGGTTAAGCCCAAGTCCAACAGCTTTACCACAGCCATAAAACACCATGTTGAGATATTAGAAAAAGGAGATCAATATTTTGATGTTAAAAAAAAAAAAACATTGTTAAACAAATCTTTTAATATTATTTTCATTCTAGGTGTACCTTCATGTGTTTAATATTCAGATCATGAAGAGTTATATTTAAAAGATATATAATCTAGGGTTGCCACTGCAGTAAAACTGACTAATATAGAGGGATATATTCTAAATTGTAAGATTTTACCTAAATATAATCATAGTTCCTAATCTTACTGGAAACTCAACAACTCCTTGTATTATTGAAAATAAATCACACAATGTTTGTTGATTGGTTAGGCTTCATCCTGAAGCATCCACGTCAAAAACAACACGTCGAGACGCTGATAATTATGATGGTGGTGGACGTTCACAGTGATCACAATTTAAAACGCTCTTTCTGTCCATCCCTCCAACACAGTCCCCGAAGACAAAGGTGCCACTCCCTGACAAAACCTGTCAAAGTGGCTCTATGAAACAACAATTGGCCTTTTGTTTTTTGATTTAGCCCGAGACCTGAGAGACTGCAAACACTACATGGCAGTGAACTTGGTGAGGGGATCTGGCAGAATGCGACGACATAAGGCAGCCGCTCAGGAAGCCTAGTGCTTTGTTTGACGATGATTAAAATTATTAGGACGACACAGAAAGAGGTAATGCGCCTTTAAGAGGTTCTCCCTGCACTCAATGGCAGTTGCCCAGTAACAATGCATCTGCAGTGCAGAGAGTCGCAGCACAGAGCAGAACGGCGACAACGTCCTCTCACACCGAACCTTTGACAGCGGCCATGTAATGCCTGAAATGCCTGCAATAACGTAGCATTGGGATTTGTTAGGACAAGCAAAACAATTCGGCTGATACCAAAGAAAATAAAACGTAGCAGGTCCAAAAAAAAAATCATACAAAATAGGCCCCATAACGGGCAACAGCAAACATGTTCAACTAGAACCCAGTATTTTGTGTGACGTTTTCGTATTAGGCTTCCCGGGGTGCATTGTTATCGAAACATCTCACGTCATGTTTTAATTGCATAGACTACGGACCGAGCCGCTTCTCTTTTGATGCGTCACACATAAAATTGACACATCTATGAATGACGTTTTGTTTGGCTCTATTGGTACTTCACACAGCCTCGTGTATTGTGGGCAGGCCGGAGCTGAACAACGTCAGGATATAGTCGCTAACCGTGTGCTGACCACCACATGTGTTCCTCATGTTTGCTGTAACATGATGAAATATACACATACAAACACATAGATGTTTTCTTTCAGTTGAATAAATAATTAAAACACGTACGTTTTCACGGACATGCTAACATGAGTGTGTATAACAACATGGCTGAAGACGAATTGATAACAAAACATTGATCATAAACAAACATTATTTTATAGCTGACGGCATTGCGACAGTATGTTTCTTACCGTTAAGCTTTGATTCTTTGGCAGCAGAATTCTGACCATCGCCAACCCCTTGCGACGACGATATCTGGGTGGACTGAGTTATTGGATCCATTTCGGTGTAGTTACAGGCTGCACACAGACGGCAAAATGACTGTCGTCTTAACTGTGAATTGAAGTTGTACGTGCGTTGTCTGACTTTCCTCTCAAACCCCCAAGGAGCGGGATACGGCTCTGCACCTTAACGCAATATCCGAGCACTGAGAGAAAGGCTGAGGTGGTTGGAAACAAGGCGGGCTGTGGAGGAGGGCGGACAACACATATCAGCGATGAGAGGCGTTCACTGTCGAGGCTCTGCCTCCGATATTATTTATCTCCATAAAACGCAGTGCATACTGCATTGGAACACAACGCCTCACAATAGCTTACCGTGTACTTAAAAAAATGTTCGGTCTTTTTCTTTAACATAAACCCATTTAACTAATTGACACACTGTTAAAATTTGATTCATTAGAAGTAATCTGCAGGTTGTGTCTAAAGTTCAACCGCAAGTTCAATGTAATTTCCCATCCTGTATAGAATATTTATCTATTTGAGAAAAACAATAGTTTTGAAGGCATCATGAGGAAAGTTCTTGAACACAGGAACCTGATTCATCTGTAGGATTTTATGTTGAATATGCTTAATTATAAAGAAATGCCATATCGCTTTTGGGGGACGATGTCGTATATATTGTAAGTATTATGAAATCCCAGAACACATAACTGTAAGTAGTAGTATTTAATACATACTTATTTATTTATTTATTGCACCGACTGTCCAACAATATTAATAAACGTGTTATCAAGCAAGCAATATCTTATCCTAACCAAGCGCTTTTAGCTGTGTATTCAATATGCATTACACACCTTTGTTCAAAACCAAAATCATCTGTAACGGCTTATAAATGTAAAGGGCACCCTCTACTGGTTTTCTTTAGAAGCATGTTCTCTAAAATACTATTCCCATAATCCATCTGGAAACGACGTCTGGGTGGGGTTAGATCTGTAATAGTAATCACGGACCTGTGGACGTTCAACGCGCCTTGGCGCATGTTCTGCAGATCTGCACAAAATAAACGTAGCGGTTGCCAAACACACACTTTCCGCCAAAGTGAACTGCGCGGCAAAAGAAGGGAGACACAAACAAAAACATGTGGCGGACTCTCTGTGAATAACGGGTATGTTATTTATCTCACGCTAGTATAATATCACGTGTGTTTATACCTTTTAATGAGTCACCACTGGGGTCTTGTGGCGGTGTTGTTCCTTGTTAGACTAGAGCAGGTGGACGTTGGGTTAAAGTAGTGAGTTAGGCTAACTAGGAGCTGGTTAGCCTGTTAGCTGCCTCTGACAACAGACGTCATTTAGGCGTGCTGCTCTTGCCCTTCTTTTGACCACGTTGATTCGGTTTGTGGGCTATGTTAATTAAATACTCTCAATTTTTAAAAGTATGCGCGTTATTTGACACTAAACACCAGTATGTGGCCAAAACGGTTAGCCACATTTCACTTTTCTTTAACCGAGTGAGTCTACGCTAGCCGAGCTATCAATTTATTCTTTTATCGTTTTGGTGACGTCTTGAGGAAATTAGCTTTTACGACGTGGTGGAAATTCCCTCCATTTTAAAGCGTATTCGTCGCTCTTATGTGTAGCTTTGTAGTGGTGGTTGTGTAGCAGCAGGAGTAAGTGCCCCGCCCACCAAAGCGCCATATAGACAATGTAGGCTAGGTTGATGTAACCACTATATTATATAACCGGTAAATCGAACCAGTCGAGCCTTGGTGCGTCATTCGTTTAAGTAAGCACGGATGAAAACTCTGTTTTATTTTTACTGTGAACAAATTATTATTTTTACCAACAGCATAACTAGAGGTTTAATAAACGTGTATTTTTACCGTGTCGTATCAGTAGACATGACGCACAAGTTGAAATCTGCTAAAGAAACGAAATCAAAAACGCACAAGTTGAAATCTGCTAAAGAAATAGCGAATCAAAACACCGATGTAATAACTAAGCTGTGATTACTGACGTATATAATTTTAACGAGGTTCTGACGGTTTGTATTGATTATTACATGAAATAAGTATGACGTGTAAGGCTTAAGTCTGTGTTAATATGCTACTGTGACAATGAATGGTTCAAAGGTCATATGTCAATTCATCGTCATTCACTTTCTTTTACCTTTTTTACATTCGTTATTTTCCTGCTTTTATTGGTGTTTTACAGCTGTTGGAATCTTCAAGATCGGGTCTATAATATTTATCCTTTTCTAAGGTAATGATGCTCTATATTCCCTATTGGATGTAAACATAGCATACTTACAGCAAGTCTGTAGAGCTTTTTCACCACTTAGCAACCAGTTCTCTGTTCTTTCCTTGATGATTTTTGCTTTCCTTTCCACTCAGTGTTTGATGTATCTCATTTCATCTGCTTCAGCCACAGGGTACACTCTCCCTTGATCTGTGACTTTGATCTAAACAGTTATGATGTGGAAGGGACTTTCCACATAACCATTACCAGTCACCTACCAATTCATAAATGTATTCATATACATATTTATGTGTACATAAATGTGAAATGTTTATGTAAGTATACTGAAGATTGAATTGTGCTTTGAACTCAAGTGCAGTTCTTCTAGACCTCATTGGTTATCTTTATTGTTTTTCTGGTTACATGTTAAGGCTAAATATTTTCTGAAATATTTTAGAAATCACGAACCTCATAGCATGCCTTAGTCGTTCTTTGGCATAACTGCCCAACTCTACCCTCCTAATGCTGCTGATTCATTGAGACTCAGTTGCCATGCCCTCAGCCAATCAGAGCGCTTGTTCCAGCCCACATTCACTACATCTACCCATCTACCACTTTATCTACCTACAAACACACAGTGGTAGTAAAAATGTCACCAAAAATAAATTAGTCAACAGTGATGAAATAAACAGTCGTTGCCATCTGATAAAGAGAAGCAGTTGTTTAAAAGAAATTAACAAAAGTTTATACTTTTCTGCTCTATGGAAATATACAAAAACAGTGAATTGAAGGTGTAATTCATATTTCAAAATAAAATAACATCATTATGTTAACAATTTCTAAATGTTGACAATGTCACACTAACTGCAGGTTAGGAGCAACTCTGGCTATTGGCTGACAGTAAACGTCATGGGTTTACACTCAGCCCAGAAGAAGCACTTCCCCCTGCGGGGCATAGATGGGGTGGTTCAACTCTTCGATGCTGAGCTTCGCAAGTCAGAACCCGACTTGGCACTTCTCTCACTGGTCTTGGGATTTGTGGAGCACTTCTTGGCTGTAAATCGGGTCATTCCCATTAACGTTCCTGGAGTGCGTTTTGAACCGCTGGAGCCCGACTGCCCCACTTCCTGTTTCCCTCCCTGGGTATGATCTCTGCACTGTACGAGCGTTTCACAGCCCAAATCCGTGGTGCTGTGGACCTGTCCCAGTATCGAAGAACAGGACCTGGGTCCAGCAGAGAGCTGGTGAAGAAGGTGTCAGATGTCATCTGGAACAGCCTTAGTCGCTCATACTTCAAAGACCGCGCACACATTCAGTCCCTTTTCAGTCTCATCACTGGTATGACATTGCAGAAATTCAAATATTCATAAGGGAAACCAAGAAAAGTAAATATTAATTAATGTTTTTTTTTTTTAATGTTATACAGGCACTAAACTGGACAGTTCTGGTGTGGCCTTCGCAGTGGTGGCAGCCTGCCAAGTTCTTGGTCTGAAGGATGTCCACTTAGCACTGTCCGAGGACCACGCCTGGGTGATTTTTGGCAAAAATGGCGAGGAGACCGCAGAGGTCACTTGGCACGGAAAGGGTAACGAGGACCGGCGGGGACAGACGGTCACAGCTGGAGTCAATGAGAAAGTGAGGACCTCAAATAAAAGTTGTAAAATGAGCTTTCAGCACAGTGGATAAAATAAGCAAATGTCTACCAGAACAGTGCTCATAAAGACATGGCTAGAAAACTATTTTCTAAAAAAAATCAGACCTAAGTGATGGTGGTACTTTCTACTGCCTTCAGCTTGGAGGTATACACCACTTCTTCCCATCAGAAACAATGACTCAGAAATCAGAAGTGAGTCACCTAGTTTCATGGCTGGTTGACATGCCCAAAACGGGGAAACATTATGACCTAGCCTTTGTAATATATGGCCATATATGGTCATCTTGTTCCTAATGAAATAAAGTGACTATACTAGTAAATATGTATGTGTATCTCTATATATACCCATATATGTATAGATATACAAACATATACTGTGCATATATACATACATACATATAAATATATTTGTGTTTGTATCTATGTATACACATTTTTAGAGAGAAAAGAAAAACAATCCAATTAACCAATGCCATTTGCATGTTAAACTTATTCATAAAAGAAACTGATACAGTGCTGTAGAATATCTATACTTTGTGGTGAAACGAAAGTCAAATAGTGATTTGAAATCAGTGGTTTGCATAAAAATGCATAATTGTTTTTTTATGAACTTTTTATACACACACTGATCATACAGTGGCTTCTGTGGACTTTCACATGTTTTCAAATTACACTCACTACACAAACTGCACTCACTTAAAAAAATCTGCCACTTTATCACTCATATCTATACACGTGTTTCTGTGGCTTCTGCTGCACAAACTTGCTGACTAATAGAAGTAGTAGGGGAAGAGCATTATGGCAAGCATGCGTTTTAAACCAGTCCATCCCTGCATTGTTCTCGTGCAGTGGCCAAATCATTAAGGAAGCTAATCATAGCAGTGACAGCTGGTCTATTAATATATCTTATAAATAACATAACTGTAAAACAACATTTTATTTTACTATTGTTTTTTTTATTTATTCAATTGTTGTTAAAATATTAAATCCTACTCTTGATCTGTGTCATTCAGAGTTGGCTGTACCTAAAGGGCTCCTACATGAAATGTGACAGAAGCATGGAGGTGGCCTTCATGGTCTGTGCCATCAACCCTTCACTGGACCTGCACACTGACAGCTCTGAGCTCCTGCAGCTGCAGCAGGTGAGCAGCATGTTCGGATGACGTGACACAACTGGGAATTAGAGTTGACAATTTAATAATAATAAACTAAATATTTTGTCTGGATCAATTATGGATATCAGTTATCGGTTAAATTTCCCTCCATTCCCTTATAGACACGAGGGTATAGACACTCGGTACTGTTAAGCATCTTTTGATTTATATACTGTATTTGTTCATCAGACTCCAAAGGGGTCAGTGTTCCCCCAGGCAGATGACAATAAACATCTCACTTACTGATTGATGACTCTACTCTCTAATAGTAATAATGAATCCATAAATAATAGACACAGCAACTCTTGCAATCACAGAGGGACTCTGTAGGTGGCCCTCTCTTACAGCAGGTGGCAGTGTTTTCCATTGAAAATGTACACTCATTCAACACCAGGGGTTTGAATCGATTTTAGAAGATTGCTGATTCGACATCGAATTGGGGGGGAAAGAATTGCAATGCATCGATAAATAGATATTTTTGCCCACCCCTAATAGACTCGTTCATTGGATTAATTATTCTCTTTGGCAGGTAATGTCACACAGGTAGCGTTTATTAGCATTAGCATATCAGCGTTAATCAGCACAAATCTTAATCTGACCTATGTTGTTTTTAATCAAAGTTGTGGAATGCACAATCTATGATTTGTCTTCTTCATTCTCACAGAAACTTCTGTGGTTGCTGTATGAGCGTGGCGACCTGGACAGGTGAGGCTGTGGGAGTTCTTAATTCTGTGATGTTACATGTCTCTCTTACAAAAATTAATTTCCTGCTGTTGTCCCTCAGGTATCCCATGGCCATGGGCACTTTGGCGGACCTGGAGGACCAAGACCCAATCCCAGGCAAAGAGAGCCCCCTGAGGATTCACCTCAAGGTAACCCGCTTCTACATAATAATGATGATAATAATAATAATAATAACAATTACAATTGTCAAAGTGAATGCATGCTAGAGGAGAAAAGCAGGTATCGGATTGATGTTGGTATCAACAGATACTGCTTGTGTATGTGGATTCATTGTGATTAATTATGATAACAAGTGGTGGATTCATTGTGATTAATTATGATAAGTAATTGTGATTGATTGTGATTAATCTACAGTCTTTTTTTATGGAATTTTAAGGACGGCATTTCTTGCTTCAGAAAGCAAACCTCTCTTAACATCTAGGAACAAAGCTGTTTCTCAAAACACAATTTTATACTTTGCCAAATAGCTGTCCCTTTGTTATCCAAAGTAAATATGCAATGTGTTAAGAGAGTTTGCTCTTTGAGAGAAAATTTGAATGTAATCATTATTGCTAAAAACAAAGAGAATTTGGATTAAACTTAAAGTAAAATACATTTTTAGCAGTTGTCAAAAATTGAAATAAAGTGTTTTCAAGTTGTAAAGCCAATGTTGTTTGCAGTAAAATGACGAGTCCATATTTTAAGTGAGTGTGCCTCTCTGTCTGTCAGGCTGTGGGTTCTGCCCAGAAGCATTACAACAACGAGCACATCTACCCCTACATGTACCTGGCTGGTTTCCATTACAGACACAGGAACGTGCAGGAGGCTCTGAAGTCCTGGGCTGAGGCCGCGCAGGTCATGCAGGAGTGAGTACTGTAGGGAAGCAAACACTAGATGGCAGTATGTAAACATAATCACATAATTCGGTCCCTTCAGGATTGTGCAGCAGCCTTTGTGATTGTTGCGGGCAAAAACATTATGAAATTGCGTGCAGTTTCTTAAAGAGTTGCAATATTTCTAAAATATTCTAAAATCAGATGAGGTGAAACAAAAAAAAAAAAAAGCAGAAGGCAAACTCATTGATGCCAGTTATTGTAAACAATTTAGCAAATTGCAAATAAATTATTTGGTACAATATTAAATAAATGATAATGATAATATGTCGTGCACTTCTCTCAGTAATCTGAACACAAACTCTAAAAAATAGTTTATTTAGTTTAATCATTTGTATGGATTTTATATTTTTAAGCTACCGTAATATTTCTATTGACAATTTAGCATTTTCCAAAACCGTGTTGACAATTTGCAATTTTAGTGTTAAAATGAGACATCAAAAGCATAGATATAAACAAATATATTGATAATATAAAATAATAATTTTATATTATTGTTAGAATAAATGGGTTAAATAACCAAGCAAGGGACAGAGTGTCGGGAGCACTAAGTGTCGAAAAAGGACTGGGAGTGAGGACTCGGAAAAATGGAGCTCGGTGGAACACACCTAAGTCGATGTTAGCTCGCATCACGAGGAAAATCTTGCAATGGTTGCTTACTTGTAACCTGAAAAACTTGTATTTCAGGGCGCTCATACCTTGGTGTTCTACTGTATTTCCTCCTTTTTCTGCTTTTCTTTTATGGCATGCTTACGTGCAGGAAACCTGTCATCCACAACAACACCCTGATAATTTTTTCCGCAGCCATAACAAAACCACACGGCTGATTTAATGTGCTTGTTCGGGCCGTAATGAATTTTCTTCTGCCATTTTTCCAAACATTTGGGCACGCCGCTCTTCTGCAACTTAAGTACTTAAGACACACACTTAATTGTGGTATTGAGTCAAGTAATTGAAAAGTGGCCAAACAGGAAGTGACATATCCACGAAGAGGGCGTCGACATAGTGAAGTTGACAGAATTTTCCTTATATGCAAGACTCCCAGGATTTATTGAAATTGTGTGCTTTTTCGCTATCGCAACATGGCAAAATCCTGCAGGGACTGATCAGTACTGCGGCACCTAAGTCACGTTTGTCTTGCAGGGCTCACTTTTTATTGTGTAACTCGTTCTCAAATGCTGCTTCAAGCCAGTGTGAGAACAGAGCCAGGAAGCGTTCCTCTCTACATCCTTGCTCCCTCCCCTCATCTGGTGAACCCAATGTTCAGGATCTGCAGCTAAAAATACCGGCAGACACACCAGTCCACACATTCCCTCACCATCGTTCAGCTTCCTTTTCCTGCTTCTTCATTGTTCCTCAATTTCAGCTTTTTCCTCCGTGCGCAATTTCAAGACAGGATAATAGTGTGTTATTCTTTATCCATAACACTGAATCCTCTGTGGAAAAGTTCACTTCATGTCGTGTCTAGACCGACTGCTGTCACGTCTACTTATTCTTCACCTGTGTCATCCTGTAAATGGTAATACATTTAAAATGACCACTGTTTCAAACGAATCCCGCCGCTGTTTCTGCAGGTATAACTATTTCCGTGAGGATGAGGAGATCTACAAAGAGTTCTTTGACATTGCAAATGATGTTATCCCCACACTGCTGAAGGAGACTGCTGCTGCAGAGAGTCCAGGGGAGGGAGGAGAGGGAGGTGAAGGAGCAGACAAGGTGAGATTATCCAGCCCAGGGGAAAGCAGTACGTGAAAGTACGTCACTGATGGAGTCATTCCATATGGGAATTACAACTGCCATATGATATAAGGAAACTAAATACAGTAACATTTTGAAAAATAGCTTAGTACCTAATAATTTAAACTATTTAGTAAGGATGTATCAGATGAACATTATCGGACGGCGTTTGCCTCGTTAACTGCTATCTGGGAAATTGACACTTTAAATTCTCCCATGGGAGTTATGAATATGTTAGCGTCTAATCGGTCACAAATATTGTAGCTTCCCTTGGAACAAAATCATGATACGGTCTAGGAGTACACAGGCTACTGTGGGCTACCCACCTTCCTCCGACGGGGAACGACATGACCAACAGGCTTCTTAGCCACTTAATGTCGAGCATTTTAACTGTGCTTTTGTTTTTGCATTTACTCTTGGTGAATTTTTATTTGTAGGTACTGAAAAAATTCTCATTGAGTAAGTTTTTGTTTATCTGGCTAAAACCACTCAACTAATTTTGTTGGTCAATGTAAACACAGTGGGGCTTCAAGATAGGAGTTCAATCCGTTCCAAAACAGCACTCTGTCGATCCACTTATATCTGGATTGCATTTTCCTCATTAAAATGAACTAAAAACTAATCAATTCCAGCCCCCCAGAAATATACCATTAATTAATTAAATTAACCCCCATCTAAACATCAGAAACATAAATATAAACAAATATATTGATAATATAACGTAATAATTAGGAAAACAATTTATATTATTGTTATATAAAAAAAGTGTCGGGGCCACTAAGGTAGGAGAAGGACCGGGTTGTGAGGACTGGATGCTTTTATATCTAAAAAACTCACTTTCACGTTTAGAGGTATTTCATACATTATCTGTATTGGTTT